TTCAAGTAAGACTAGTCTCAATGCATATTCATGCAGTGAAAAATTTGCTCCCAAATTCTACTTTTTAAGCACTAAGAGGTCAGTTTGAACTTTCTTTCCGCCATTGGGCTCCATGTAATTTCGAAACTTCAAACACGTATATCTCGAAATGGCAAAAACTGCACTTATGTGCCTTGTCCTCCGAGCTCCTCACTTGATTAACGGATGTATTGGAAATCCCTCGAAAGAACATCATGAAAAGGACAATTTTTGCCGAGCTCGAATAAAATTCAGCAGTTAGACTTTGGAGATGGGTCTTTGCAGAGAATTAGAATGATTTGCCACTGAAAGTAGTACAAAATACGGAAGAAATAATTCCTTCGTTTTGAAACACTTTAAGGGATGTTTGGAAAAATGAACCACTAGATTAAGTGCGAATTTTAGCATTCTGATACATCTTTAGGGATCAAAATTTCACGTAGAGCACGATTCGCGTAACGATAATTACTGAAAATAACTACTTACTAAGATACTTAACGGTTTTGGATGAATAAGTTGAACTTCATGTTCATGAAAAACAAAAGACTATGTAAGTCAAATTGCGCACCAAACGTTACCGTCACGTCTCGGCGGCATTAAAATATGGCAACCTCAATATCGGTACTTCGGCTTAGCTGTTGCACGTTGTTAACACTTAAAACAACGCAAGGTAGGGAAGGAAGATTGCTCGATTTCTAAGTGGCGTGCCAAAACCATTGCAGTGCGAGATTAGATTCAAGCAGATTATTGTGTTTTATGTGAGCAGGAGTTTGAAAATTCCCGTAACCAATGTTGACTAAAAACAATAATAGCCCAGTTAGGGGTTGATTTCAGTAATTTCCGTTGCGCGAATCATGTTCAATGTTTTGAGTTAGAATACGTGTACCAAAATGCCTAACTTCATACCTTGTCTAGTGGCCCATTAGAAACTACTATTTTTGGCTTTCAGCACTTATCCGCATAGAAAACTGATGGCAAATACAATGTTTCTAAAAAGAGCCAGAAATGGTGGTTTCTTAATGCAACATGCACTTCAATTCGTGAATAAAATGTATGTACATTTTCAGATCCCTTTGCAATCATCCTTCCTTTCCTTAGCCTCCTTGGGTCAAAAAAAAAAAAAAAATCATGATTGAAATATATCAAAATCGCCGGGTTAAAATCGTGAGAAAAAGAATCGATTTGAAAATCCGGCAACGCCGCCACCACGGGGCAACGGCTCACGTCTTTGTTCCTCCTGGACTTCATCTGGAGCCAGGTCTCGGATCAATCTGAGAAAATCTCAACCTACGCCGAATACGGGGAACCCAAAAGGATTCAGGTGCCTTCGGGCGAGTCGCGGTGGCAGCCCCACCAGGCCTCACCCAATCTTGACGACTTTCACCTTTCGCAAAGCCTACATCTACCTTCCTCATTCCTTTATCCATTAGAGCCTACCGAACGGGCCGATTATTGAAACCTTATCGACAGCTTGTCGAACCGACATTGATCGACGAAGAACATTTCAAGATAGGGTTTTTTCAGTGCAAGTCTCTCGACGAAAAGGCGACAATTTTTCAGTGGCGTGGCGAGAACTGCGATAGATCGATTGTCATGCCATTTAAACTGATGGAAAAGGGTCGATAAACAGGGTGTTCGCAGCGAACACCTTTATGATCGATTCTTTACCATAGGTTTAAATGGCGTAACAATCGATACATCGCAATTTACGCCACGCCACTGCTATTTTTCCATAATCCACTCGCTGTAAGTTACCAACCGCGTTAAATGCAAGAAAAATCAGAGGTAGATGCATCATTTTTGCTCAGCATGGCAGTAAACTGAAATGGAACGCACTTGAAATAAAGGCTTACAGATTTTAGCAAAAATTATTCCCATACATTTTCTAGGTCCTCGTTTAAAACGGACGGACGTTTTCGACTTTACAATCTAAAATCTACCAATACAATGAGTGTATGAAGAAACTGTGAATTTTCATCAAGTTTTAAAATATTTAATTTTACGTTGGGTTAGAATAGTTGAAGGAAAAATCTGGAGGAAGTGAGTCCATTAGGATCAGAGAACGGGTAAACTACAGTCGACGGTCTCAAAACGTCATAAAATGTAACCAACTTATCGACCATTACTGAGCTGTTTGTGACACGGGATTTAAAAACAAAAAGTTTTCGGGGTCAATCCACTGAGTCCTTGAAGGCTTCAAAACAAGCTGAAATAAGAGTTTATAAATGGAAGGAGCTAAGGAGTTCAAATATTACGTAAACAAAATACATAAACTCATGCGTACAACTAATCTGAACAGGCGTTATCACCGTTATCAGTACTCCAACAGCGACTACACGAGTGGTTACAAACATACGATAGACGGCCACGTAGTGTAATGTTACTGACATCACGTGGAACGTGAGTATGGGTAAGATTTCAAGTCTCGGATCTACAACGGTAGGCGCATTTTCCACATGATCGAATTGGTGCTCAAGTGGGTCATACCCTCTCCACGAGGCATCGACAAGCACCAATTCTGAGACCAATGCGATCCTCTGATTGTCTATCAAGATGCAGACGTGGAGGTCAAAATTAGATCGACTTATCGATCTGCGTTGCAACAATTGGCACTCAAAGATTGTAACTTGTAACAGCCTAGAGATTCGTGTTTGGAACAGACACGCAGACACCGAAACTGATTTTCCATGCATAATAGAACCCTCTCAGTGTTGAAAAAAAAAAAAAAAAACCCGGCAAATTCATATTAATTGACATTTGAATTACATTTTGCAATAAGGAACCACTAGCCTGACTCTTCCATAGAAACAAATGTCTGCTTAGGGAAACCAATAGCATATATGTTGTTTCTAAAAAGAGCCAGAAATAAGGGTTCCTTATTGCAAAATGTAGTCCATTCGTGAATATCAGAAAAATATTGATCCCTACCAGTATCAACTGACATAAACTTTTGGCGTCCGTCGACAGATTACTTCTAATTGGGTATCAGGGGAATCTTTTAGGTTAGGACTGTTGGGCTTAATCGGCTGGCGATGCTTGTAGAAGGAGAACGACTGTTCGGCGTGACTGATTCCAGCTGGGAATCCCTCCCTGGAAACAGTAGTGGCTAATTCTCATATACTGGCGACAGCGACTTCCCTCTAATCAAATGAATGTGAGACAATCGATACTCTTCGGGGTGGACTGTCTCACCCGGAATCGATTGTTTAACATACATTCAAATCGAGGAAAATCAGGGCTGCCAACTTGCGCTGTTCGAGAAACGACGCAGTAACCTTCGACAAGGACGCGGTGGTGTCACCCGGCTCGACCCGAAAAGCACGGGACCTGGGGGGCCTGAATTTGGGGGGGGAACCGTGGGGCGTCGAGACGAAAAACGAAAGGCGGGTTCGTTAACTCGAGCCTCGAGCGCGGCGGCACTCACACATCGACACGCGGACACGCTCACAATCCATGTACCTGTTGCTTGGCGGCTGATGGCGAGTTTCTCCTCGAAACCACGGTTCCCACATGCCACCGGCTGGCAAGACGACCGGCGACGTAGAGGAACACTTATCAACGCCGAAAACCGCGCTGAAATATTTCCGTTCACACATTCACACATCCGGAATGCCATCGGCAAACGGCTGCATTACGCAAAAAGCTCTCAACTTTTTAGCTCATTAGAGAATCGGCGTACGTGCCATTGATTTCCCTGGGCAAATGGGTGCGAATGAATCAGAAAAACAAGATCCTTTTTGATTAAGGCAGTTCATTTTTTCCCCCAATACGATACGATGAGCCAAAAGTGATTGGTTCGACTATATTATGCAAAAAATAGGTAACTTTTTTGACTGATTTAATTGACAAATTAGGGGCCATGGTTTCCCTCCGCGGATAAGATGAGAGGGAGTATTTACTTCCTTTTCGCGTGATGCAGCCCTCATCATTCGAGCACCTCGTGACAATCCACAAGGGGACGACTCCTCTTTTCGGCCCTAAAACTGTCTAAACACGACGAGACAGCCTCCTCATCTTCCGCCTCCGTTTATCACTTCTTTCGTGAAAGGTACGGGGAGAGTTCATATTGAATCTCCCATTTTTTTGTCAATGCGATCATGATGAATGAAACGAGTACGTAACAAGATGTTTTAACTTTCCAGCTATGGGTTACTATCGAGTTTGGGGATAACAACATAATAACAACAATATTTTCGAAACTTTTCCAAACCACGCACCGGTTTCGGGGACAGGTGGAAATATGCAAACAAGGAGTAGACAAATTTCTCCATGCACAAGACAGAAACTCTGGTACAAACTCGGCAACGTTGCACTGTAATTGGTCATACATTTGTGGTTCCTAATTAGACATTGTTGAAAGCTCAATTCAATCGAAAACGACTAATTCGACGCCCAATAACAATTTTTTCTCTGCTTTTCAGAGGTGAGCGATAAGATGAGTTTTAACTTGACGGGAAATATTAAGCTCGAAAGAGTAGAAAAAAGGTCGACGTTTCGTCATACTCAAGGGTTCTACAGTACGATGGGGCTCCTTAAATATTTGTTACGAATGATAAAGCAGTTTTCGGTCGAAAGTATGATATGGTAGTATTTCGGTCGAATGTATCGTATGGTGAAACCCTCAACGGTCTCGTTCTCATTATTATCAGATGACTAACAAAGCACTAGAAATATGATGCGATTAAACGTTCTGATAAAGGACATACACAGATTAGTTTGGAAACAATGTGATATAGCATCCGTGCGTGATATTGACGCGGCCTTCTCTGTGCTTCCTGCAATATCGAAGCGCAAATTCTATTAGACTGCGTTTCAACATCGACTCATCAAACACTTCCGTCTGTTTAATGTTTACACCGAGAAACAGTCAGAGAAAAAAAGCTCCTTATCAATTCAACAGTTTCGAAACTACTGCGTCAAAAGCGCAATATAGATCCGTCGACTAAAAAAGCAAAAATCTTCGTTGCATGTAAACATCATACCTGATTTTGCGACCGAATCTGGTGAGAAATCTGGTATCCAAAGGCTGAAACACCAAACACTAAACACTTTATCACAGTGGGTTAAGTCGGTCGGGTAAGAGACCTGTTGCGCAGTTTTCGCTAACAGACACAGAATTCGAACGAAACACTTGATAACACACACGAGCACGTTGTAGATGTGTAGAAACACCGGGAAAACACTCACACACGGTAGAAATAAGGTGGCGGAGTGGCGCTTTGGGAGAGACGGTGCGCGCGCGCGGTTAACACACGTCCGTCCAGTACAGGTACTCGAGCACTGAGCTTGAACCCGACAATAACACGAGATGAGGAAAAGAATCGAGGGAGAGGCGGCGGGGCGGGGATGCCTTCAGGTGAGTGAAAAACTCGCGAGCGAGAGAGAGAGAGGGGAGATCATTCCGAAGGAGCGCGAGTGAGAGAGAGAGGGGAGATCATTCCGAAGGAGAAGATAAAAGACGAGTTGTGTGCCTCTGCGCCAGGTAAGAAATTCTCATTTCTCGCGGCATGGCATGGCACGGTGCGGTGCGGTGCGGCGAGGTGGAGGTGGGGGCGGGCCGGGCAGGTGAGAGGAGCGCTGCTTTGCCAGATTGCCAGTCGCGGTCGTCATACGCCGGGCGGGAGAATCAGGTGAAGGCGTTGGCCTTTTGATTCGCGTTGCCGCAAAGGTTACAGCGCCTTCAGAGGGAAAGTACAGTCGCTTTGGTGCCGCTCACTGTTTGGTTTCATCTATTTGGGCCGAATTCCAGATAGGAGCCAACCCACATCAAATTGAAACTGAGAAAAAGGGGTTAGGAGTTTGATAAGTGCATAAGGCTCAATGTAGAAAATACATTTTTTAACACACCAATTTCGGTTTTTCGACTTTCAGTTTATGGCAGGAAGAAATATACGGCTAGTGGAACTCAAAAACATTCTTAACTCAATTTTTTCGGAAATGCAGGTTGGTTCCTTTCTGATAAACTCGATCCATTTCAAGGTGAATCTGCGACGGCTCGTCGTGGGAAATTTTTTCCGCGAAGGGGGCGCTATGCACCAACTGCAGTCGCAAATTCGACTTTTTTGGGAACGAATTGATCGGTCCCGTTAAAATTCTTCGAACCTGATATCAACGCTACAATTTTAAAATTTAAAGTTAGCGACTAAGAGGTCTTTAAAGAGCTGCAGAGCTTTTCTGCATCAAAAAAGAGCAATAAGAGAGCATTCGCTTTGAGAGTTGGAGCGCAAAAGAAATAAAAAAGCACCGTCTTTCCAACGCACCGATTAAGTCTCTCCTATCTTTCACTACGTAGTAGGACTACGTACGCCCACGTAGCCCTTGAAGCACCGCTGAAAATAAGGCGACGGAAACAGTCACAAGAAGGAACTACAGCGGGAATGAAGGCGCGTTGACGACGGCGCAGAGATACAACTATTCGTACTTGATGGATGTCCGTGTTGCGTCGTCAAAATTGAAGGCGCTTTGGGAACACACTGGAAACTACGCTGTGAGCAGAGTGCGAATATTGACGAATATGCTTGACTTGATATGGAAAGTGACAAACGCCTACGGTCATGAAAGTTCCTTCAAAGTGTTGGTTATGCAAAAGCAGTCGCCGTGATGCACGAGTAGTCATCTCCTTGGAATTTCCCCTCCATCGATTGGCTTGAGCCGCTTTGTATTGCTCAAAGGCAAAAAATGTTGGTTGCATCGTTCGACTCTCCTCCATGCAACTCCTGGACTGTTTTAAAGGCTTTCGCTGTTAATTAAAGCACTTAGACTCACTCGTTGTGAATAATCCACATTAACAGCTCCTCGTAGTGTTATTGTTTCTCTCAAAAAATAATTTTTACTTAATCCTTGTCATGAGATTGCCTTTTATCGGAAACCACACCTCTGTTTCGAATCTTGCAGACTTCCCGCCATACTTCATTCTAATTCAGGAAACTGATCGATAATTCTTGAAAATATGTAAATATAAGGAGGGTACTTGATCCATTCCTAACTCAGCCATCTCGGGCTTCATGGAGCTGTTAGGGACCAAAACTTGGCTGACGTTACATGCCAAAGATTCAAAATGAAAGAGAGTGAGGTTTTACTAACTCAAACCCACTTGGTTAAGCGAATTTACTCAATTTTGAAACTAAATTTGTTCATTAAATTCGACAAAATCTTCTCAATCTGGACTTTCACTATGACGAGTTTGGTAATATGTGCAGCAGGTAATAACCGTCAAAGGTCGGAAACCGTCCCCTCCCATCCAAAATCACAGCCATTTTACTGGATCCTAAGGTCCTCCATGGGTCCCAGTCCGGTGCCCAGACTCTCTCTGGGAAGGTTCTCTCGCCACAACGGCAAGGATTATGCGTTCAACTTGGCACCGCTGTAAGCGCAGCAAGGCGAGCGGAGCGCGCAGGTGAGCCGCGGCCCTGGTTTAGCGGCACGGATCATGCGGCTCACCTGAGTCCGGATTCTTCGGGGAAAAGAACGCTGATATTATGTTATGTGGAGTAGGGAATAGTACCTTCATTCCGCCTCGGAGTCTTCACCGCTTCGTGCCGGCTCCCTCCTCGGAGACGCCCGGATCGGCCGCTAGAGAGCGCTACTTACCGCGACGACCCGCCGCCACCCGAGTCACGAGGCTCTTGAAAAAGCTGCGTAGATTGCCGCGGGAAGTGCTGCGAAATATGCAAGTTCAAAGCCTCGTTCACACGATACTTTCGCGCGTCAGCCGTGCGCGGCTTCGTTCAACTTGGTCGAATGAAAAGTCAATAAATGCGATACATTTGAATGAAATAATCATTGATTCGATGATTTCTGATGCTATTTTTACTCGAATTCAATATCTGTTTTGGACAAAGTTTAGCAAGAGGACACGCACGGTGTGTGCTTGTTTCAGAAACGGTATAAATCAGTCGAAAGCGAACAGTCAAATGTTCTTACTTACATTGCAATTTTGATTGTTTACCCTAATTTTAGACTTGATAATTCTTTGCTCCTGAAAGAAAGAATTTTCTGTAAAAATATGCAGCATACCTACAATAGTATTTTAAACGTTTTTAAGATTGTGAATGTACATTTATCATGAAATTTTCAGCACGTCATAAAACATAGCATTTTGACAATTTTAACATTAAGATGTACTAAAGGCATGTGAAAAGGAAGGAACAAGGAGAGTTCGCGGATTTGAAGAGTTTTTTCCCCCAAAATGTTGAAAACCCGTGAACTCTTCGCCATAAATTTACAGAATTCCGTAAACTGTCAAAATTTGACTACCGGCCTAGGCATTTGATAAAATGTCTGATTTGACCAATTGCCTTCGACATATACCACTGATTCTCTTGTACCGATACGTATTTTCACAAGGGTCTTCAACTGTCCACGTGTTTGATTTATGCATGTTCAACTCGATCCCTTGATTCTGTCCTCAAATGAAATGCAATCATCAAAAATGACCTAAAAAATAAAAAATAAAAAAAAAAACTGATTGCAATCCTGGTATCAAATCAAAATGGGTAAGTGAAGCACTGAACAGGGTAAAACACGGGACAAGTAGCCGTATCAAACCACGATGAAAAGTTTTGATTATTGACAACTTCCATAATCAACTCATGAATAAGAAACTAATGGTTTTTACTAAATAATAAGTAAATTCAAATGGGCCAAAAATCGCCCGTTTTCGGGCCTTTGAAATTAGGGTCTGGATGAAGTTTTTTCCACCCTGAAGATGACCTTTCACGCATCAGTATACGGACCGTTTTCGAGATAGGAGAGAGAATGAAGAATATTGTCGGATAATTTCAAGGAGATGTATTGATTTGCTTCATTACTTTCAAAAACCGGAAATACAACCGGACATTTTTAAATGGATTCGCGTTTGCTCCCTTCACTGACATATTGCCACGCCGCGCCACTGGAGTGCGAGAAGGACGAGAAAGGGTGAAAGATAGAAAAAATCATGGACAGCCAGAGTGCCTTCATTTTTCAGGACGCAATACGGACAACCACTGAGCACGAATAGTTGCATCCAGCGTTTCGCTTTCTTATCCGCGCGTTAAAGTCTCCGGGCTATTCACGGCCGCTCTTACGGACACATTAATGACAGTATTGGCAAACATGGACATCGCGAACTTAGCACCATCACTGAACATGAAGTGAGTGCATTTCTTTAAATAAATAATTTGAAAAACTTTTCAAACCTGCATCTGCGTAAAGATTCACTGGAAAGCAGCGTAGAGAAATTTTGATATAAAAAGGAAATTTTTAGATTCAAGTTGACAAGAAAATCGGCTCCTTCAAAATGTCTCAATGCAGTGGAGGAAATAATGTAGGCGTTAAGAATGTGACTAATTGTGCAAAGTAAAATTTTAATTATGACGACACAATGTTATTTCTGATTGAACCCTCGCACGAAAATATCAAAATCAAAACAGGTCAAATTGGTAGCAGAAAAAAAATCTCATTCCAGTCGGCAAACAGGTAAACTTTGATCTGACGAAACATTATTTTTCTTCACACACAGAATTGGTAGACATGCCGGGAAAAATACAGGATACGTAAGAAATATTACCATCGGAAAAGACTATAATCAAGGTAGAATCCTACGCGACTACTCGACTTCATAGATTTAGGTTTCTCGGGGAGCGGGAGGTTTGAATTAACCAACACTGAATCAGTCATTGACATATTTAAGAGTTAAACGTTAATTGATATTACAAATTTGTCGTCGTATTCCACGTGAAATTTCGATGACGAGATATGCAGAGCTATGCTTAAGGTGATTCGAGGGACGCCACGTTTTGTGTGAGAACGGCATGCGATATATCGCATCGATTGGTTCCATTTTTCCAGCAACTCGTCATTTTTCTCCAATTTTGAGATCGCAATTCTGCTGTCAGGGGACTAAAGCACTCACTTACCAATTATAACACAGAAATTCAAGGTAATGAAGGCGTGGTTTTTTCAGAAAGAAAACATCGCATTCGATACTGATATCGAAACTGCACTCGAATGCAATATTTTCTCTCTAAAAAAAACACGCCTTTATTACGTTGAATTTCTTTGTTAAAATTGGTAAGTGAGTGCTTTAGTCTTCTGACAACAGAATTGCGATCTCAAAATTGGAGAAAAATGACGAGTAGCTGAAAAAATGGAACCAATTGATGCGATATATCGCATGCCGTTCTGACACAAAATATGGCATCCATCGAATCACCTTAATTTCCAACCTTCCCCGGTAGTCCACAGTAGGACGAGAATAAGGGCGAAACTGGGAATCCTGACCAGGAGAAAAAAAACGAAGCGCCTA